ACTCCTCAGAGTGACCCTCCTGGCCCCACTTCTCTGTAAGAGTTGTGCAGTTGGTTACTGTCTTCGCCGTCCCGATTACTGTCGCCGCTGCGACAATGCGCAGCAACCACTCATCTGTCACTGGAGGCTTGAGTGTTGCTATGACGTTGAACAGGTTTCAGCAGAGTTTCCAGACTAAGATGGACTAGGAAGAAAGGCCTGGTGACGTACTTCTGAAAATCAGCCAATGAAAACCCTATGGATCACGACAGTTGAATCGGCAACCTACCATGGGGATGGCACACGACCAAGCAGTGTTTCGTTCCATTTAGTTGGGGGTGACTTCATGGTTAACAATAACAATGTATCTTAAAACAGAGCTTGACTTTAGAAAGGGGAAGAAGGCTGGAGGAGGATTCTCTAGGCAAGAGATTGGTGTGGGCCATGAACTACACAATGGAATTGCCAAATGTATTGGGCTTGTTTAGTGATTCTATTTGTGTCATAGAGTTAATAGAGTCCTGGAGGAGGCGAGGGCAAGAAGACAGAGTAGTCAGACATTTACGGTGGTCCCTCTTACAACAAAGAGCTGAAAAAAACAAGTGAATCGATTATATATGACAAATCTAGAAGCCCTGAACATCAAAGGCAAAGTTGAGGAATCGGACTGAGTGGCAGGGGGAGGGAGAGACGGTTTGGAAGCAGTGAGGAGTTGCCAGACCTGACCTGGCAGGAGCTGGAGCCCTTCAGCCCCGATCAGCTCGGGGGTGAGTGGTGAGGCAGGCAAGCAGCAGCGCTTGGGAGGCGTTTTTCACACCAGGAGAGACCCAGCGGCACAGAGTCTACTTGGCCATCCAGAACCAGTGAGAAGCAGCCCTCAATCGACGAAAAGAATTGACGTGTGGACCAAAAACAACCCCCTTAGGGAAAAACCTCTCTCCCGTTTACCTCCCTGCTCCCTGCTCTGCACTGGATTCAGGATGGCTTCAGGGACTGCCGAGCCCCCTGGGCTAGAAATAGGACCTGTCACACTCCCCAAGCCATTCTTTCAGCCTTGGAGAGGGAACAAAGTAACAAACAGGGGAAAAAATAATCTGCCAGCTTCCCTAAGCCAGGAACTCAGGGTAGGCACAGCTCCTTTGCCTAGGCCCAGGCATAAGGGATCCATGGACTTTGAGTGCCTTTCCCCCTGCAGAGACTTGTGTGGGCTCATTTCAACAGCTTAGGCCCTCATTACCATAGTCTAACA